GGCAGGGGGGTTGGACCTAGATGGGCTTTGAGGTCCCTTCCAACCCAAACCATTCTGTGATTCTATGATTCTGTGTTTTGCCAGGCTAATGGAAAATTCATCTACTGCTGTTTTTAACATCAGGCAACACCAATTCTAATGGAAAAATTTCCTGTTAACTTTCTTCCATGTTAAAGTGTCTGTTCCTACTCTGCTGCTCAGACTGTTTCCATAACAGTATCTCTTTAATAATCTTCCTTTCGAAGTATTTTGACATGACTGGATGATGCTCGTACTGATCACTAAGTTTCTTCCATGACTGTGAGGGTGTCAAAGGCTTCTCGAAAATGTTGCTGGCAACACTTCCTCCTCTGCTGTGTATGGTTTGTCCTCTCTGATCCAGAAGGATGAATTTCCCCTCTTATCTTACTGTAACAGCCTGGTTGCTAATTTAATGAAACCCTACATTTTTAGATGTTCTATAAATGGCTTGTTTTGCACCCGTTCTTCTTGTGGGCAGCCTCTTTGATAATCATGAAGGCACAGAAACACCCAACTCTCTTGAGGTTTTCTTACAGTCCAAACTGTTACTCTTTTCAGAGTAACTTAAGTGTTTTGGTCAAACTACAACCTGAATGTGTATCTTGTTCAGCAATATTGAACAAGCTTTGAAGGGTGCTTAGCTGTCTTGCTGTTAAAATTTATAAACTGCCACCACAAAAACTCCTAAGAATGATTTTTCATTCAACTTGGAATTTTTACTTAAATAAATTTGTTAGTTCTGGTAATAAAAGCTCATCCAATGTTATTCTGTGCGTTACAGCTCCCTTAGGTAAAGTTTTATAGGCGGTAACACACAGACATCCTGATAAAACATCTGGAAATGGATAAAGTCAAGCATTTATTTCTATTTTTTTGAATCAGTACCAAACAGTAACTCAGACTTGTCCACTGCTGCTTCTGAGTGACAATATAGAGTTGTTGTTTTTTCTTAAACAAGTCATATTTTGCTGTAAAGGTAGGTGAAGCAACTTGTATTGCGTTTGGCCCAATTCATTTATTGGTCTGGATTCAGAAATGCCAGTCAGGGTGGCAGAAGTCTTCTCCCAAAGCCAGTGGCAGACAGAAGACAAATTTTGTTCCTTGAGAAGTGCCTTACGCAATTGTTCTAAAATATTTCAGTAGACTTGAAATATGAGGGAATGACCTACCCAGCACATTTAGGAGGGGTTCTTCCAAGCTGGTATCTTATCCTAACAGGGTGCGGTTATGTCAGTGCCACAGTCTGTGTGACAGCAGAGCAGCTGCTGGCTGCGAGTGGCAGAGTTGAACATTGTGATCTCGGAACAGGAAGAGAAAATGAAGATTTATGTCATAGGAAGTGTAGTTGTCTTTCATCTCAAAAGTGAGGAGAGCCATTCAGAACAGATAAGTAAGGGTTTGAGAGGCAATCAAGCTTTTTAATAAATTTCAAAGTATCAGAAAGTCAGGAAAATGGAATTGCAGTTGTGGAGCAGCAGGCATTTCATTATGAATTTCATTATGGAGACACAGGCAGTCTGAGTGTCACCAAAATGGATAGAATTGTCACATGAAGTGTAAATTGCTTTCAGCGCTTGCAATGGGTGAAATAAGAGCTTAGTTCTTTCCCCACCACCCTCTGCCCCTCATCCCAAGCTGCATCTTGATATTATACGCATTTATGAACAAGGACATCCTCTGGAAGTTGAGTAATGATTTGAAAAACCCTGTTAACTCAGGCAGGCACAAACATGTTTAAGAAAAGTTGCAATTAATTCTCTACTCTTGCATCCCCCCTATGAAAAGCTGTTATGCCATTTGCACTTGCCAAGGCCACAGAAATCTCTCACCTTCCTGCAATTATAGTTGTGTGATTCTTCTTACTGCATGTATTTCCCCTTCTGCCTAAAATCCAAAATGTCATAAATAAATAATCCAGTTTCCAAAATTAGAAATTTATAAAGAGCAACTAATAAATTAACTCTTTTTAGAGTCTTGCTCTTATATAAAAGACATCAGAAGAGTTTGGAAAAGACTTTAGAGTATCTTGCATTCACATCCAACAAAAGAACTGGTTTCCTAGTAATGCTTTTTTAATTAACATTTTAAATGTTAATTAAATTAATTAAATGTTAATTAAATTAATCCCCTCTTCAGGGATCTGCTTGGTAGAGTACCATGGGACGAAGCCCTGGAGGGAAGAGGGGCCTGAGAAAGCTGGTTAGTATTCAAGGATCACCTCCTCCAAGTGCAGGAGCGATGCATCCCAACAAAGAGGAAGTCAGGCAAAAACACCAAGAGGCCCCCATGGATGAACAAGATGCTCCTGCGCCAAGTCACAAGGAGCTCCTGGACAAACTCAGATGCAGAAAGGAAGCCCACAGAGGCTGGAAGCAAGGGTGGGTAGCCTGGAAGAGTACAGAGGAATTGTCCGAGCAGCCAGGGATCAGGTTAGGAAAGCTAAAGCCCTGATAGAATTAAATCTGGCCAGGGACGTCAAGGGAAGCAAGAAAAGCTTCTATAGGTACATCAGTGATAAAAGGAAGACTAGGGAAAATGTGGGTCCTCTCCAGAAGGAAATGGGAGACCTGGTTACCCAGGATATGGAGAAGGCTGAGGTACTCAATGTCTTTTTTGCCTCAGTTTTCACCATCAGGTTCTCTAGCCACACCACCCATGTCGTGGAAGACAAAGGCAGGGACTGGGAGAATGAAGAACCGCCC